ACACTTTCTTTGTCTCTTATTCTTGGGATTTTCTGAGCCTCTTTCTCTCTCTATTTCTTTTACAAAATCCAAAGGCAAATAGCTACTCGTCACTCCATGCAAGCAAGGCCAAATCTCTTGGTCCAAAGAATGAGCATAGTGCAAAACACAAAACTTCGCGTGCTTCGTCCTCTAGTTCTCTACGATTTCTTGGAAAACCCCACCTTCTCTTTCTCCAATCGCACACACGCCCATGCTTGTATGCTTATTGTGTATTGACCAACATTCTTTGTAATTCTCATAGAATGTTTATTGAAAGAATAATGTTACGTGAATTAATTAATTATTTATAAATTTACAAGAAAATAATAGTTGCACACTATATGGGTGGTTTTTTATATTTGGTAAAAATATCATATGATCAATTATTAATGTTCTCCTTTACAACCTTTTGTTAAATTAAATATGTTACACGCCATTTATCAAAGTGATTAAGTGAATATAATATATATAAAAAATAATAATAATTGATGGTACATAACCTAATTGTTCCATAGTAGACGCTTAGGACTACCTTGGAAAATGTCTAAACTATGCGGTGCGTGTGTGGGGGCGAGAGAGTTGAGTTATGTGGATTCTTTTGCATAGAATGTTGAGAAAGGCACATTTTTAAAGAGATTGACTTCTGATACAAGGTTCAACTAAAGACAAATGAGGATGAGGGAGATGGTTTACCTAAATTAATGCTTGCACGTACTATATGTACACCGTAGACCGAAACCGAAGATTATACATGAGAGAATATTCATTCATTATTTTATATATATTTGAAGCGAGAATTCAATTTTTTACATGTGTTTTTGTTTACCATATGGAAAGCTCGGTTTTCAAGTTTATACATGTGAAGTTGATGGGAAAGACACTTTGAAGGTAAGTATAAGTAATTATTGAATTTAGCAGTTAATATAATAAAGTGTTACCTTCTTGAAAAACACTATTAACTGCTAAACGCTAATTAATTGATTGTTCTCCCAGTAAATACTCTCTGCCCTCTAAGTATATAAGTGATAACAAATAAATGGATGTAACATTTATTATCAACGCCGAGTAGAGGTGAAATAGTAATTAAATCTCGTAACACATGTTAAACATTAATAATTGATTGTTATCACGGTATAAATATAGGCCAAAAAAGTTATCGTAAAATAATTTTTTAAAAATCGAGTAAGAGTTACTTCTTAAAAAAGTTTTGAAAATTAATAATACTTATTTTTAAAGCAAGTAATTTAGATAGACACATTAAAATATGAAAAATTGTTTATTTTATATTAAAATAAATAAACAAAAACACCCATTTCTATCCCCTAAGCATAACAAGTAGTAACTAATAAATTCAACACTTTATTACCAACACTTAAAAAAAGGTGACTAGTAAATCTCACATAACACAAGTTTTATACATATTACTCACATCTCATCACAAATTAAGGGGAAGTTTTCCATGCACCGTAAATTCTCACATCTCATTACATATTAGATGTGACAAAATTATAACATGCATGTGTAAAATTGAAAGACTAAGACCAACTATCTAAATAACAAACTGGTTATAAAAGCAAAGTTCGGCACGCTTTGTATAGTCCTCTCTCTCTTTTTTTCTTCAGAAAATATATTTTTATACATAGATCATCTTATTCATATAATTACATTACATGCATGATGCATCTCATAAATTCAAGGAAGCGCGTTTTATGTTAAAACTATTTATGTTTAAAATGCAGAAAAATAATCGAAATACAATTTTGTATAAAATTTAAGAAAACTAAATCTGTATAAGTATAACTTAACGTACCCTTTTGATTATAATAATATTAATTTTATTATTAATTATTATGGATGATAAAATTATTCATACTCATGTATATATGTAAAAATTCATCATAAATAATAAACAGGTAGTCAAATAATAAACAAGTACTCTAAATGAATATATATATAAATAATAAAATATAAATATTTTTTTATTTGTTTATAAATAAGATGGAAACATCTTTGCTAGTTTCATACTCGCTAGTACTTGTTAAATAATATTA